TTTTGCTTTAAGTGTTGCTTTTGCAGTGATGAGACTGACTGTCTTTGCAAGCATTTCCCTAAAAAATGGTGTTTATAATCCTTATAACATGCAAGTATTAGGAACTCAAGGTGGTTAGGGGCAAGATTAATTTTTAATAGTTTTTCAAACTTTTTTAGAACACTGGTTTTACCTYTCTGCCCAGTCTCTTCGGATTAGACAGTTGCTGTAAAAGCTTGACTTTATCATTGTTTTGATTTATTTAGGCCTTTGCCTCCATCAGATATGTTGCACTATGAGGAACTGTAAGAGTGTTCTAATAAAACAAATTAATGACTTCATCATAGATGCATCTGATGGGACCTTGACTCAGATAAAAATCAAACCAGAGCACTGGAATAATTTAGTTTATTTTGCTTCTGTATGTTGTGTATAATAACAGCAACTTCTCAAACTTGCCAGCTGCCCCGTTCAGCATCTGTCTCTGTTTGTATAACACACCCATGTCCCCCCTACTTTGCATGTTTAGTTTCCTTCCAGAATAAACAAGGSCAAGTTTTACGTTCCTGACAATATCCCTGCCAAGATCAGAACATGCAACTCAAGGAGGAGGTGGCAATGGACTCCATCCACCACACCAGAAGAAAAGGTGCCCTGCTAGGAGGAAGTTGGGCAGGACATTGGAGTCCCCCATCCCCAGAGTGGTGGGGAGTAATTTCAGGGGTGCTGTAAACTGGTTATCCAGTTGCAATGGATCCAATGTGTTACGGAAGTATCCCTCCTGGATCTCTGTCTGGGTTCTTCCATAGCTTCTTCCATACAGCTCGCATCAGCAGGCCTATGGGCAGTCCCAGTTGTACCTGCAATTCCACAGCATGGAAGGCTGCAGGGTTGARATCTGCCCCCTCTTCTGTGCATTGGCAGCTCTCCAGCCCCAACTAAACTCAGGAAGTAACAGCAGAGTTGGACTAACAATTTTGTACAAAATTGAATAATGTTTTGTCCAGTGCAAGCCGGAACACATGGGGCACACCTATATGGACATATGTATTCACCGACACAAGGATCACTGACCAACCTCTAAACAAGCTAAAGGGAAGTAAATCCAACCCAGGACTTATATTACTTTCTCCCAGCTGAGCCTATTAACTCAAGCAGAGAATGGCATTAAAGGCACTTCACAAGTGGCTACAGAGAAGAAGGAACAGAGAGCTAGTTTGTTTGCCCCCACGGAAGCATCTGTACTCATGCATGACCAAAGAGCTCAGCAAAGACAATAATAAATGCTCCGATGGAAAATAATTTAGAGTGAATTATAGAAATTACAGAAAATATCCATGAACAATGTAAGGGCAATGAGCAAATGAAAGGTCTTTAGAAAGCAGGAAACGGAAGAGTTCCTCATAATTATCCAAGTTATATATGGCCTTTTATTTTTCAGCTTCATGCTCAGAGGAAGCTGAAGAAGGAAAGCACAGATTTTCTGAACGTTTCATTTTTGCAAACCAGCATTAGCTTGCAAACTAATTTTGTCCATTCAAATCACTATTTTTCAGGGAACAACTTCTCACTCGAAAACGTCAATCAAATGCATTTAGAAATACAACATATTTCTAGAATACTAGAAATACAACATAAACTCTGTTTATCTGACACTAAAGAGGGGACCAGTGCTGTGGACATGTTGATCAATGTTGTTGTAAATACTGGTCACCTCAATAAGCAGTATCTTTTAGTGAGAAGAAGCAATAAGGAAGGAAGATAATGGAGCTGCTTTGAGGTGATGATTTGGCTCAGAAATGGGCATCGAGATACCATAATCGGGGCAGAGGGCATATACTTCTTGATTAGAGTGTAAAACTGACAGCTCTGGGCTGAGATCAGATATACAACTGAAGCTCTCAAGATGCTTCAGAAATCATCTCAATTTTCTGAATCACCCAACTACTTACATCTACACTACAACACACTACAACTACTTACTGTACTACTTACATTCTGCTGTTCCATCTATAACAAAAAGGCACCCCCACACTTGACCAGTTTTGTGTCCTTCTCACTCCTGGCATGGAATGAGCAAGAGAGACCAGACTAAGAGGAGACCCCTGACCTGCTGCTTTTAGTGGGTGACAATCCTATGGCCTTGCTAAGTGTGGCACTATGTAGTTTTTTTACCCCACCATTACGAGCAATTCAAAACCAGTTTCTTTAAGACAAGGTAGATCATAGGTCATGTTACTCAGTCACATTCTTTTCAACAGGCATAGATAACCAGACTGTTTTTCTCAGTCCTAGAGATTGAGGGGACTTTCTGTGTGACTGTGTCTTCCTATTGCAGGCGGCATTATAAGTGATCCCTTCCAAGATCATGAAGCTTCTCCTCAAAGCTTAAGTCCTTCGCTGCTTCCTTCTCCTCCTGTTTCCCATGCCTATTAGAAAGTTGTTCCTGAACTGAGCTGTACCAGTGTTTGAATAGTTTCTCTTTTCTAGCCTCAAGTAAYTTGTGAACAGTATCTATGCACACGATATTGCACCTACTTTACCCTTCAGCCTCAAAAATCRTTTTGCCAGCTCATAGTCCAGGTAGGGACCAGAATAGAAGAAAGGAAGACCAGAAAAAAATATCATGCATCATTGTTTATCTAGTCACCAGAAATCCAAATATTCTACTGACAGTTTGATCTTTTCTCCAGTGAATGAAGGCATACGATGATAGTAAACATTTTTGAGACAGTAAGAACCATCATTCCTGGCAGAGGGACAATAGACCACATCTCCCTCAGTTTTCACTTTGCTGGACTACATAACTCAAACTGTTTTAGCCTCATCTTTCCTGCYAGTTTCTCCAGACTATTGATTATAGTAGTAGTCCTTTTTTGCAAGTGTCTTAATGGAATTGCCATACTCTTATGCAATCGCTCTCTTTTTTTTTTTTTTTTTTTTTTTTTTTTTTTTTATTATTCATTATGCAACGACATGCACAAGACCATGATCTGGCCTCTCCAAATTTTTTCTCTAACGGAAAACACTTTGAGTGAGCAGTTTGATTTGTGTTGCTGCATAATATTTCCTCCAAATAGGCAGAAATAAAACAGTGACATTTTAGAAACAAAAGAAGAAAGTTAAAAATATTAAACTCAAAGAAGAAGCTTAAAGAAAGAGGGGAAAATAGGAGTGGGAAAACCATTAGGCTCTTTTCTCTGGGCAGGCAATGGAAATGCAAGGAAAGATTCTGCAAATGCAGAATTTAGGTTCATGAAATTGGAACTTTGCTTCTAGAGGTAGTTTCCATGAGAAAACTTGTAGAGTCATGAAAACTGAGTGAGCTAGGAAAAAGATTCAGGCCTATCTAAATTTTACCAGCTCCAATTTGCTACTAGCAATTTCAAAGCTCTCCAAGAATACCTTGGCTTTGGAGAATAGCTTGGTGTCAAATTGTCTGTGGAACAAATCCAGGTATTGCTTAAGTGAAATAAATTCACATTTCACTACTATCATTCWAACACAATGGAGTGTGTTTCAGTCATCAAAACATTATGTTACACCCYGTTGCTTTAGTGATTTATGAAGTACTTTATAGGAATATAAATCCTGAAACCATTCTCTCCCCTCTCTTCCACACTCAGAGACATAATATCGACCTACATAGTCATGCATGCAAGAGTTTAAMGACCAGTTCACACACAGGCTTCTCACCAGTAAATGTCTGCAATTGGGTCTTTAAAAATGAATACTGGTATGGATTATCTAATATCCCTTTCTCTCAAGCAGTTTGGAGGGACTGTTGAGGCATGAGCAGGCAGAGGTCGATGTGGGGACACATGGAGGCCATCCTGTCTGAGAGCTTGCAGAGGGTCCGGTGACCTCTCTTGAATCCCAAGGCATTCTCCTGCCCTTTTCTGAGGCTCTTCAGGGACTGAGACTTCCAATGTCTCAGTCAATGGATGCTCATGTGCTGAGGCAGCACACAAMTGTAGTTGTTGGAGCCAAGTCAGGCAGGAGGGACCTGGGCACAAATAGGAGCTGGAACACKGTAGCAAACAGGGGTGTAGGGAACAAGGTCCATCCACCAGTGGACARGAATGTGCTTGGGGGCAGGGTGTTGGCAACTGTGCTTTTAAACTTATTTTTTAATTAGGACTAGYGGTCTTTCATTTTCCTGCTTGCAAGTTAAAGCGATGCAGCTCAGTCCTAACTCATCCAACACCCTGGCSCAAGTCTCTGCATGGCCAGCAGGGACTTTGTAATCGATGCTCAGGGCATGGTTACCTTCACCTCTCCCCACTGAGCGAGTGGCAAATGGGCCRGGGAGATAAGCGGGCAACATGAYTTGCTCTTGCTCTCTCAAATTCGGYGCTCACCAAGTCTCAGGTGCTCACCAAGAYGTGTCCCTTTGCCTTTTCAGAGGGAGCTTCCAGAGCTGGTGTACCAGGACCAAGTGCTGGGCCAGGGAAGGGGCAGGACAAAACAGTGTGAGTGGGAGGTGAGGGAGAGGAGCACATCTTTCTCAACAAACACTGCTTTTAGCCGTAGACTCTGTAAACKTTCCCGTATGAAACACTAAGGATTTTTGTTGGTCCACTGAGATATTTTTTATTATTATTTACTTGCCTTCTTTTCCTCTCTGAGTGGAAACACTGTAAACTACCTGAGCTCAGAGGGCAATATTTTCATGTTTGCAAGCAATGAATTGTCTCCTAAGAAGAACACTTTGGCTGCTAAAGCAATACAATATTTTCAAAAAGATGTTTGGTCAGAASCTTAATATGCACATTAAACCTGTGGCATGTACAGATAGTGTCACTAAATGCCTCCAAATCCAGATGCTCTAATCAGGTGTGTCTTCACAAAAGGAGATGAGAGCTGTGTTTCTCCAGCAAAGAGATCAAACCAGGTCAGCTTTGATTATATGTCCAAGAAATGCATGAAAATTGACTGAGTAAGCACTAAAATAAAGTCATAATAAGGTTTCTGGCTTAAAAAAGATTTTTTTTTCAAGTATACAAGTTTGAAACACTCACCAGAAGGTGCTGTGGTAGTTTTTGGTGCTGGCAGTAAGCTCCTGCGTGGGGTCGCTGTGCTGCTGGGGACCTGTGCTGTGTTCTTGCTGCTCCCCTTGGATACATCCTTAGAAGGAGCAGCTGCCTTAGGAGCGGTTTGTTCTTCGTTTCCAAAGCTGGAACCTGCAGAGGAACAAAATTGCACTGATTAAAACTGCATAGAAACATATGTAAATTGTGGCACACAGACTGAGCTTGTATCAACGATTATAACACATATTCTGATTGCAGCTTGCACTAAGTTACATAGATTTTCTCCCACATACACAGTTATGCAAAAATAAAGAATTCCAAACAACTCAAATGCTGAATCCTGGTGACAGAGAATGATTCAAATAGCAAATTAATGTCTGCTTTAGAGCTCACCCCATAAAAGAATCCAGTTGCAAGGCTGAAATCAAAGTGTTTCTAAACTGTGGAATGGAGCAGTTTTTTGGCATTTTGCAGTTACTTGAGAACCCCCCTGCACCTGGGAGCTGCTGTTGGTTGTGGTAAGTAAGTGGGAACTGGTTAGGCTTGATGGCACAAGGCACTGACTTTTCCCACTCAAAGAGAAGATTTCATACAAAGAGAAGCAAAGAGCTCCTACAAACAGTGTCTCGCATCGCCTCCAGACTTTGAATTGTAAGATTAATAAATAACAACAACAGAAAAGCTTTAATTCTCATATCCCTTTCAATCATATTCTTATATTGAATCTTAGGTTGCCAAGGTTTCCGTTTCACATTGACCTCCTTGAAAACCTCTTAATGGGTTCAGTTTCCTTCTGCATTTGCCATCTAGGGAATAATCACATCCCAGGCTCCTTGCAGATGTGAGGAAATCAATCTTTTCTTAACACCCGAAAAAKGCGAAGCTGGAGGGCCTTCTTTATCTATGAAGCAGAAAGCCAAAAGGGTGCAAAAGCTTACAGCATGTTTGGACTTGAACATTTGCAGAAGGGTGAAGATTTTGCTTTAAAAATGAGCAGAGATGGAGCAAGAAATACATAGGATATCAAATAAATAAATAATAATAATAAAAAAAGCTATAGCTTTTATTTCCATTATTTCAAAAAGATACAATGCAAGACTGTTTACGGTCTGCCTGCAGGGAAATGATAACAATATTAAAATAATTGTCATACTCAAGCCTCTCTCCTTTTAAGAAACAGAGTTCTTAAGCAAGTGAACAGAAGAAGAAAGGTTTTTTGCCTTAGTGAAAATCTTCTAGAAAAAAAGTGCAGGCTGGAAAAGAAAATCCTCTTTTCTGATAAAGGAGGAATATACCTTTTGACTCTAACAAAATGGCATTTAGTTCTGTTGTATCTTTAAGACTGTTTCTATACAGGTTTTAATTTAAAGTCATGTATCTGGAGTATACATGGATTTCTACAAGCACATTTAACCTTTGTTCAATTAATAGGCAACTTTAAAAATGCAAATACAACRGTCTGCTGTGCACTATGGAGGAACAGGAAAGCTTCAAACCCTTCTTCTCTTYACACTGCTGTAGACACAACAACCCCTAGCACAATAAACGGTTGTTTTATATTGAAATTACAAGGATTTTTCACCTCTGTAACAAACATTAAAGAATGTGTGTTGCACATCTGCTGAGAAAACACTGCTCACTTTGTAGAGCTCTTTCAGCAATGAGTCTGGCCTAACCCAGCCCAATCGCCTCTGCAACTGTGCAGGAGGGCAGCTCGACCAGGTCATCTTTACTGGTCATCTTTACCTGGTCATCTTTACTGTCCTCATCTTTAGGGATATTTTAAAGTGTATATGTCCATTTTAATCTGGTCGCATCATGCTCTAAACATATTCCACATTTTCTGGCATATGCTCACATAGCTGATTTGAGCTGCTCCACTCGTACACAAGCTTTTCATTTCTTGAGTATTTGTTTAGAAGTTTAAATTACAGAAAGAGCAATAAGGAGGAGGAAACTCTTCTTTATTATTTGCAGAAAAAAAATACAGTTCAAATGCTCTTTATTAAAGCTTTATATGCCTATCCTTTATTCCCTATTGTGAAATATATTATACAGTCAACATTTCAATTCAAAAACTTGGCTGAATGCCAAAATGGAAGCAATTCTCTTGTTTGAAGAATGAGGTGTCAAGGGATGTTACATAATTTCTCACACACACACAMAAAAAAAGCTTTTCTAGTTCTTTAACATGAAGTACAGCAAGCTATAAACATCTCTACCCTCTGAAACAAAGCCTAAGTGGTCTGTGGATTAAAGAAGCAATTACAGGCTGAATAGAAAGTCTAATAAATATGATCCAATCAAAACTCCTGAATTATAAATGCTCTGGAGAGAGGCAATTGTGCATCCCACATGCTACAGGCTCACAAGAGAACAACAGAAAAGCAGGTAAATGAAAATCTTTAGGAGAAAAAGGTCAGAAAAAAAAAAGAAACATGAACCTTCTGCTTTTCATCTTTTAATGCAAAACAGACTCTCTGGAAGCTAAGCCAAGCAGCCAAGCAGCAGCATCAACAGATTCAAAAAGTTGCTGTGGTGAAGTCAGGATTTTATATAGGAGACAGCATCTCCCACCTTGCTGTTCCCTTCAAAGAAGAAGTCTGGAAGGAGAAGGTGGGAGAGAACACCCCATGCCTGTTTAGCATGACCCCAAAGCACATGTGTGGTCCTCCTATGGATATCACTAGGGCAGAGTCTGATCCCCCAGGATCAGGGCACGGTGAGCTCCACATTGCTACAGATAGTACCAGATTCCACTTTTCTCTACAAAAAGCATTCAAAGCAGAAATGAAACAAATGATTCAAGGAAAYGCATATCCTCCATGATCACAGAGGAAATTAAAGGTTTTCATTTACTTAGAGGAATTCACATCTTGGAGGAAAATCAGAAAGACTTATTCATCGGATGACAACTGTCAGTCCCTCATGGGATAATGCCTTCCATTAATAACTGCAGTGGGTGAGCTGGTGACATCAGCCCTCACAGCATCTGTCTTGTTCTTGTTTTGCAATCAGAGCCTGTACARAAACATCAGATGTGCGATGCATGAACAGTTTCTAGGTGATCACATCTTCCTCCGTATTGTACCTCTTGCCTCCTACTCCTCTGCTTTTGCATTTTATCTGAAACAAAGGACTTTCTGCCTGCCTTTGAAGCACCTAGCAAGTCATTTGGGTGTGTCTATATAAAATATCTTGTATTTTTTTTTTCAGACTTTATTATATGTAATGCAGCAGAGTTGCCTTTGCAAGAAACTATATTACATCTTATTAAGGATTCACTGCTAAAGGCCTTCAGCCTCACTTTTATCACCTCCTCACTGCAAGCCCAAAGGAATTCTACTCCTTTGCCTGTAAAATATACATATATAAAATAAGAAGTTTTTGAAAGCTCATAAATACTTCAGAGAGCCCCAATTGCACCTACCCTCCCATACAGTGTTATGCCACTGTTATGTCCTGAAGATACAGAGAAGCCAGGGCTGCCAACATACTGTAGTTTCCATGTTCAAAGAAAGCCATGACCAAAATCCCACCAGTTCCCAGATGGTTTGAACCACTCTCTCTCCACATGCACCAAACTCCTCTTCATCATCTGCCACTGCACCACAGCAGCTTGCTTAGGGGCTACTTGTCCACAGAAGAGAACATCTCACCCGTAGGTACCACAAGTAGGAGCCATGACTATTTTGGAATTATTTAGAAAGTAACCATTCAAAAAATCTTTGAAATAYGATATTACGAATCATTACAAAGCCAACAAAAGTATTAGTCAGAGAGGAATTCTATGTTCGATTAGATCTGCATTAATGTCACAACCGTGCTGCTAAGGCAGATCTTGCTTTGAGAGCAGACAGTGATTGCAAGGGCTGTTTTGGAGACGTGAGCAGGAAATTTCTCTCTCAGAATTCACGCTTCAGGGTCTGTCTAAAGCCTGGCCAGCCGTGTCGGCAACAGCTTTCCCTGCCTGTGCTTGACAGCAGTGAAGGCTCCTTCTGTTGGAGAACTCGAGTCTTTTCTTAAAAATAAGCYTGTCTGACAAAGCCTACAGTTCTCTGTTTTGCTAATAAACAGATCCCAAAAGAGTATTAAACAGAGCACGGCTGCTTCTGTGTCTCCCCGTCTCATGAGCCGCTATGTGAAGCCCTGTGAAACGGAGCTGAGTTTCCAGCTCTTCATAGCAGGTCAAGCATTAACTGTTCTGGCAGTAGGCTTGGAGTTGTTAGCTCCCCACTGCAGCTGTAATCACACCAGAGACACTGAGAATGTGTTTGCATCACGAATGTTCACCGAAGCACAAACATCTACCCCGGGTAATAGCAAGCTCTTTCCATCTTTCAGATCCTTAGACACTACTTGATACCAAGCTTAATAACAACGGAGGTATGTCTAGCTAGTAGTAACAGGCATCCCACTTAGCGTTTATAGAGCACTCTCCAGAAGCAGAACTCAATGAGCTTTGCAAACAAGCGCAAAGATGCTGAGCCAGCTCCAAGTTCACGGAGCAAGGGGGTGGCAGAGATGGATAGGGAAAGCCATGTGTACTACTCATTTGTGACATTTTACCTGTGAAGTGACACATATTTTTGCAGATTAATGACAAGATATCCAGTCTATCAACTGCACCTTTCATTATTTTAGTAGTTAGGGTTTTGAAGTTCTGCATTGTATATTTCAATATAATGTTTCACAGCATTGTCACCAACACATTATTTAATTTACAGCTCTGCAGCTCCAACTGAAACGAAACTATCGACCAAGCTACACAGCGTGATCATTTGTACTTAGACGTTAGTWCCTTACAATGTCATGACAGCAGACTCGATTAGCAGCCAGCTAATCTGTTATTTTATCTTTGCTGAGAGCTAGTGCCTGACATTTCCCAATACACAAGGCCAAATGTGCAATAGATTAGAGACAAACTGGTGGCAGGTTTCTTTCTATCCAGAACAAGGAAAGGCATAAGGATTGATATTCATAGACTGCTTAAACCTGCTTATTTACTTCTAAGTCCTTTTTCCCATGACTTTTTTTCTTTAATTCAAACAAAGATGTTTTAGCCTTCCCTTTACATAGYAATTTTAGGGGAAGTTTGTGCTTACCTGCAGCTTTACAAAGGTAGCATTTTGTGAAGATTTAGCATTCAA